CCCCCCCCTCCCCAAGGCCGGCATCCTCCCGCCCCACCGGGGCACGAGCTCTCCCCCAGCCAGGATTCCCACACCGCTGTGGTCCCACTGGGGTGCAAAGCTCCCAGCAGCTCGCATGCTTCCCGTGCCCTGTGGCCAGTGCTGCCCTCCAGCCAGCAGGCCCCCAACCAACAGCTCACCTGATGTAGCCCACCTGGGGCCTGTGGGTCAGCTGCCAGCGGTAGGAGGTTTTGTCCCGCCAACCCACATTACGAGGGTCCTTCCAGAGCAGGCGGACGTGGTCAGGTGTGTGCCCAGTGTGCCACAGTGCATTGCGCAAGTGCTCCCCAGGGCCAGTCGAGGACTTCACTGCCTGTGGGTGCATGGGGTGTCAGGGGGGACTGGCCACAGGGGCCTGACCTGCCTCATGGAGCAGCCAATATCCACCTTGAGCTGCAGCCCTGGCTCGGCCACAGCGCGGAAGGGGGTAGCCTGCCAGTAGGTCTGCTCTGTTTGCTTCCACATCACCACGTAGAAGCTGGCACTGTCCTGGTAGCTGAAGATGAAGCCGGCGTAGTCATCATCAGTGATGGTGTTGACGTGAAAGGTGCCCTCGAAGTCCACCCCATTGAAGGCCGTGTAGCCTACAGGTGGTCAAATGCTGCAAGAAGCCCTCTGCCCCAGCCCATGACCTTGCAACCTCCAGCCCACCTTGTGCCTCTCTACGGGGCAAAGACCCATCCCAGACCCCCAGCACAGGGGAGCAGAGAGGCTGTCCCATGGGGTCTGCAGGTGCATCTCTTACCCACAGCCAAGCCTGGGTCACTGTTCATGGTCTGCACAATCTCCATGCCCTGTGAGGGACAGCTGAGTGAGGGGCTTCCCCAGCAGCCCTGGGGACATCTCAGTCCCCCTCTGCTCACACCCCAGTCTGCAGAAACACAGGGGGCAGCACCCACACCTGGTTGAGGACCACCCAGTTGGGATCAATCTGGGCGTCCCCCTCGGGGTCAAGGATGACAGTCTGGTAGGCACGGAAGTCTGTCAGTGTCACCTCGGCGCTCTCAGGGCACACATCCAACTGGTCCACCACTGTGTCATTGTCAAAGTCTTCCTCACACACGTCACCCACACCATTCCCTAGGGAAACACACCCTGGTCACTGCTGGGTTAAGTCTGGGGGGCTCTGCCTCCCCCATCCCACTCCATGCTCACCATCTGAGTCCTTCTGGTTGGGGTTGGGGATGAGGCGGCAGTTGTCAGGGCCAGGTGCCACATAGTCAGGGATGCCATCGTTGTCATCATCATTGTCACAGTCATCTCCCAGCCCATCATTATCTGAGTCCAACTGGGAGCTATTGGGGATCTCAGCGCAGTTGTCCTTGGTGTCCTGATGCCCGTCCCCATCGCTGGGAGCAAGAATGGGGTTAGACCAGTGTCACAAAGTGGGGGCCTGGCACTACTTCCCCACCAACCCCAAAGACCCCATTATCCCCCTTTGCAGGCCCCTGAGTTCTCCCCCAGGGAAAGGATGAGTAGGTGACCCTGCAGCAGTGCAGTCCCCACCTGTCCTCGTTGGTGTCACAGATGTCTCCTACCAGGTCACTGTCCATATCTGTCTGGAGGAGACCAGAGCCCAAGTTCAATGGACACCCGGGATGAGGGGGCCCAGCCAGGCTGCAGGAGGTCCTCCCACCCCCTGCTGGCAGGGTCCTGTCCCCCTGGCTCCCTGCTTCTGCCTGCCCCCAGCCATACCTGAGTGGGGTTGCTCATTTCAGGGCAACTATCACAGGCATCCCCGACACCATCCTCATCCCGGTCAGTCTGCAGAGGGTTGGGCACCTTGGGGCAGTTATCCAGCATGTTGGGAATCCCTGCAAGGACAGTGTGGGGTGGAGACCCTCACCGCCAGCCTAACATGATGGCATTGACCTCCCCCCCAAAGGCTGGCTGGCCCCAGAGCTGCTCACCATCCCCGTCAATGTCATTATCGCAAGCGTCCCCCTCGCCATTGCTGTCCGTGTCCCGCTGGTCATTATTAGGCACGTTGGGGCAGTTGTCACAGGCATCCCCAAAGGAGTCAGTATCTGAGTTTTGCTGGTCCTTGTTGGGAAAGAGCCGGCAGTTGTCCTGTAGGAAGAGGACAAGGACACCCATGCTGTGCTGGCTGACAGGCAGGAAGCTGCAGTCTCGCATGGGTCAGGGCAAGAGGACATCTCCAGCATGGCACGAAACCATCCCAGAGCCACAGCCTGCTAAACCCAGGAGAAGTATCTTGAGGGCACCAGCATCAAGCCAAAGAGAGAAGCTCTTTGCCCCACGTGGCCCCCAGAGCCACAAGCACAGCCACCTCCACGTTCTTGATGCCATCGCCGTCAGCATCATCATCACACTGGTCCCCGATGCCATCATTGTCAGCGTCCTCCTGCCCTGAATTCGGTGTCAGGCGGCAGTTGTCCTGCAGGCACAGGCAACATCAATGACTGGGAGGAGACAAGGTCAGAAGCACAGCCCTGCTCCAATTCCTCAACACCGCTGCCATCTCCAGGCTGAAGCTCCCCAAGAGCCCACCTGCTTGCAGTGCTTGTTATTGTCGATGCAGGGCAGGGGCTCGTCTGGGTAGCCATCAAGGTCTGTGTCTTGCCCACACACGTTGCCATTGCCAGCCCAGCCCACATTGCACTGAAAGAAGAAATCAGGGGCTGGGACTTGGGGAAGGGCCCTAGTAAGACGAGCTGCTCCTTCGCTGTCCCCTGGCACCCCCTCCCTCGCTGTCCTCCAGCCCCTGTTGCCCACTCACCGCACAGGAAATTTCACCGTTCCTCTCAAACATGCAGAAGCCATTGACGTCACAGGGGTTGTTGGTGGGAGTGCTGCAGGACTGCTGCAGGACGCAGCCGGACGTCTGATTCCCCACAAACCCAGACTTGCAGGGACCACACTTATAGGAGCCCTGCAGGAGAGCAGGCAGGGTTGGGACTGGGGAGCAGCACAGCCTTGGGCACCGGGCAGGGGAACACGGCAGCTCTGCTCACCAGCGTGTTGGTGCAGATAGAGTTGGGGTCACAGCCCCCGTTGTTCCCATCATTGCATTCATCAATATCAGTGCAAACCTGCAAACAGCATGGCAGAAGCTGTCACCTGCCTCTGCCTTCAGCCACAGCCAAAGCTGTGCCTGTGTTCTGGCCAGGAAAGCTGCTCTGTGCTGGCAGGCACAGTGTCCCCCCACCTGTCCCCACAGCTCAGCAGCCTGGAGCACCCACAGGGACCTGGCTGAGTCCCATGGCACTGCACCCACCTGCTTGCTGGCCCTGGCGTAGTCAGCCCCCACACCAGAGACAGTGTTGCCCCGATAGCCACGGGGACAGGGCTCGCAGCGAAAGCCAGGGGCTGTGTTGATGCACTTGGAGCCAGGGAAGCAGGGGTTGGCATGAGAGCACTGAGGCACAGGGAGAGAGACAAGCTTCACCCCTGGGAACAGCACCCACAGCAGGGCACCCACTGCCCCAGGGGAGCCCAGCAGGGCCATTCTCCTGCTCAAAGTCACATACGGAGAGGGGAAGTATCTGCCCATGCTGGTCTGGCAGTGCCGGTGCTCAGATGACACCTGCTGACCCCCCCAAGGAGTGTGCCCACCTCGTCAATGTCAGCACAGTATGTGCCATTGCCCTCCAGCCCAGGCGGGCAGGGCCCACAGCGGTACCCAGGGTACTCGTATGTCTCCATGCAGTCCACACCGCTGAAGCAGGGGTTGGGGTTGCAACGGGAACGGTGCTCATGGAAGCCTGAGAAGTGGAGGGACAAGCAGGGAGTGAGACAGGGTGGACCTCAGCCCCCTGAGGTGGGAGCAGAACCTCGCCAGCACTCACCGCAGACCTGGCACTCCATGATGGTGTTGCGGATCAGAGACATCTCCTTCGTCTACGAGGCAGCAGGGCACGGAGCATCAGGGGGATGCAGCTGGCACCCTGCTCTGGGGGAAATCCAGCACAGCGAGAGCTGCCACTGCCCCACCGCCTCACCTGGTCCCTAATGTCTTCCCGCAGCTCGGTCAGGACCCGGTTGAAGAGGGTTAGCTGCGTGACCAGCGCCTTGGTCTGCTCACCTGCCAGGGCAGAAAGGACAAGGTCAGCCCCAGGGCAAATGCAGCTTCCCAGGTCTGTAAACCACTCTGCCTCCTGGCACCAAACACAGACAATAGCCCTTCCTCTTCCTCCCTGGTCCACACAGGATCCTTTCCCCCATGGCACACCCCATGCCACTGTATCAGCCCTGTCCAGGGGACATCGCAGGCACTCAGAGCACTGGGATAGGCTGTGGAGGGTTCTCCACCTCTGTGGAGCCCCAAACACTGCCACGACCCTCCCACAGGGGACAGGTGGAGCAGAGCAGGAACTTACCCAGGATGGAGGCCAGCACGCTTGTCACTGCAAGGAGAGAGATGAGATTACCAGATGCTGCCCCCAAAGCCCAGCAGTGTCACCTTGCACATCTGCTCCTGGTCAGTGCACACAGAGCACAGGAGCTCCTACCCTCACAGGGATGCTGGACTGGGGGAGGCAGGAGCACCCCTCTGTGTGACATGCTGTCCCCTCCCACCTCCCAGTGCCACAGCATGCAGCACAGTGAGTGATCCCATAAGCCCCACGCGCTGTCCCTGCTTAGTGCCGATGTGCCATTACCTGCACTGTGAATGGATTCATCTCCTTGGAAAGGGCACTCACTCAAGGCCCCAACACGGCTCATGGACCCTCCCAGGATCAGCTTCATTGACTCCACAAACCCCTGATGTACAACAGGAGACGAAGTCACCCGTGGGGGGCTCTGCCTGTCCCCGAAGGCATGGGAGGGGTGTCTCAGCCCCTCTGGGGGGCCCCGCACTCACCTGCATCCTCTGGTAGGCCTTCTGCCCCGTGCGCACCTCGATGGACTCCACCTCAGCCAGCGGGATCTCAGACAGCTCAGGCAGCCCCACACTGGAGTCCACCTGCTTGCAGTCCACATAGAGCTCCACGCTCAGCATGTCCCCGCGCAGCCCGCTCAGGCGCACGATGACAGTGTGACTCTGCCCATCTGCCACCGGCGCATGCTGCAGGTTGACCGAGTGCAGCTTGTTGTCTTCCCGCAGGTACCGCACCAGGACTGTGGAGGAGCAGGAAGAGGCTGTCAGCTCTGCCCCTGCTGCCTGCCTGCAGCCCCCCTGGACCAGCATCTCACCCCAGTGGGCCCCATGGATGGCAGGACCTCGGTCCCTGTTTCTCTCTGAGAGATCAGGACCCACATGTCCCCATGCAGCAGGCACCCACCTTTGTTGATTTTCCCCACCACGGAGACCTCCAACCACCTCGTGTTGTCTTTCTTGGAGTAGAGGCCGAAGAGGGTGCCCCCCTGCTTGGGGGGCAGGCGGAAGGTGGAGAGGAGATACACGTCGTTGATCGTCAGGAGCTCCATCCGGATCTTGTGTGTTATGCTGGCCATCTGCCGGGCCTCGCTCACCATCAGCAGGTCGATAACTGGGGGGCCAAGCACGG